AATATTATAAAATTTATGCAAGAAAGAATAAGAAAAGAAATTATTTTTAAATTTAATACACAATATACAAACCAAATGTAAAAACAATATATAAAAAAAGTTATCCAATAAATATTTAGATTCTGTGGGAAATTTGTCATTTAAAGTATCCAAAAGATAGTAATTTTGGTTAGACTATCAAATAAGGGACACTGGGATATTGTTGATCCTATATCATTTGCTTACACCAAAAATGTCGAAGAAAATTGGAATTGAATCAAACTAACAGTTCCTGTTAGAAAAAGAGCTAAGAAATTAATTGGATTGCAAATTTTAAGATTTATGTTAAAAAAATTATCCTATTCTTTATCTTTTATTTTAGTAAACTATTTTGCATTTGTTAATATTAAATATATTTATTTTTTATTTTAATATTTATACAGCTTTTAGAACATTTGAATCTTTAGCCTAATCTATTTATGTAAAGACTGTTTACTTCTCTCAGAAAAACAACAAAAATAGTATATTATTATAGAGAAAGGAATTTACTCTCCAACACGTGCTTAATTATTATGATTTTAATTAAATTGTCTCTTCACAAGGTTCAATACAGGTGTAAAAAACCTTAAAAAAGTAACTTTATATGCATTAAAAACGAAATTTTAATCTTACAATATATTTGAGGAGATAAAGTTCTATTTTTTTCAGTTGGAATAACAGTTCAAATTTCCACTTATCTTATATACCCTTAGCCCAAGTTTTAACAAATTTTACATGACTCTGAAAATTATCAAATTATAAGTAAAAAAATTGTAAGCAAGAATGGCATTATGGAAATCGATCAATTCCAAATAGAATAAAGAAAAAATATTGCAGATCGCGTTCCAAATCATATAATTATATTTTGTGGTGTATGCAGGGAAAATGGGGGAGTTTTTTGAAACTATTGGAGAATATATCTTGAGAAGTCTTAGGGAAAGAAGTTATTTATAATATTAAACCCTGAAATATTACTTTTACCAATCAATGCTCTTTTTGTGTCATTTTTTCATTACTCAGAATTCAAATCAATTTTATAAACATAGACTGAATTCTGTTGATCCTGTAGGCGTTACATATACACAAACAATTTATTTGCAGTGGAATGAGTTTGAAAGATTTAAAAGAAATTATACTATTAAAAACTGTTGCAGTATGATAGAAGTAAATTAGAATCTAAAGAACATCTAAAGAATTGAAAATATATTGATTTATTATTTGTTCTTAGAACATTCATTAAATAAATTTGTAAATGTTGAATAAACCTTAGTAGTTATGAAAAATAATAATTTATATTTTTTAAATATTTTGATCAATGATCAAAGTAACAAAAACAAAGATAAAAACATTTATACAAAGGTGTATACTAATCAGAAGAATTCTTTTTAATG